GAGTCACCTTCTCAGAGCTAAGTCATTAGCTTGATGAGGGTCTTGCTCTCTGCCAGTCCTCATGTTGGGAGGATCTCACCATGGTGGGCGAGAGTCATGTGTCGGTCCACCACATGACAGCGGGGCCCATCATACATTTATCTCCTAACTTCATAATTTAAAAAAGCGGTTTTCCTCTATCCGAAAGGAGTATTAGGATGTACGAGCTATAATATATTTGTGGAATCAATCCTTCCTTTCCTCATCCTGAGGATGTAATGAGGAAGTGAAGGATTGAAATTACAAGTACTGCGTAGAACAATAAGGAGTTGACCTCCTGAAATGTACTACAATTAGTACGTTCAGGGACGGTCAACCTTTGTACTGTTCTAAGTCTCCTGCTTATGCACAGGAGAGACTTGTGCATGGGCAAGGGGTTATATTAGTACAGGTCGTACAAGTACTGTATAGTGAAACGCCTTCACCATTGGAATGCCTCTACTAGAAAAAAATTAGGGAAAATATTAACGCCAATATTGGTCCGATGTTTTTCCGTGTAGTAATGCCAACAATGGTCCAAGATGGGTGCCAATGCAGAGCCAAGATGTATACATCTTGGCGGATCTTGACGATATATATTGACCCAATATTGGGGTGCTACTGGGGGAGGGGGTTATGACCCCCAACCTCCCCCCCCCTTGGGCACGCCACTGCCTCTAGGAATACTCTCTTCTCTATAGTATCAGGGAGTGACTCGTTATTTGATTCAACGCCTGGTATTGGGGGCTGAACATTGATGTACAAATGCAGAATCAAACTTGATATATTTTAAAATCTAAATGTCATGTCGCGCGTCAGCACACTGGCCCAACGTGGAGCCGCGGGATATGCTTACGACCCCACCCCAGTAGCACCAGATATTGGCTCAATGCTGGACCAACGTGTGGCACTTTGGTTACACATTGGCCAATATTGCCAATAACGATTCAGTACAATAGGATATTTTGTTGAAAAATTTTTATGAACAATGATGGTGCCCACTGGTATCCACCATTTCATTGTCCTAAGGGCAGAATGAGGAAATGAGATTTCGCGCTCATTCCGAAGAACAATCAGGGAAGAACCCTCCTCTGAAATTTACTATTAATATTGCATTCAGGGGGAGATGAATCCCTGTACTATCCTGTGGCTCCTGCCATCCATGGCACAAGCGTGTGCATGAGGTTATACAACAGAGTATGAGTGCAACTAGAAGCTCCACTCCGCTCGAATCCCATTCATTGACAGGATCGCAATATATAATATGAGGTCTACCGGAAAGTTCTGTCCGTTTTTTGAAAAATAGAACACAATCACTTTTTCAAGAGTTTATTAGAATTTATTGAACAACATGAGCTTGGCTAAAGCTGGACGCTTTCTCTTGATTTTCTCAGCCAGTGCATCAAGTTGGAGACAGTATTTTTCAGAATTAATTGTCTCATTTCGCAGCAGAAGTTCATAGTGAATAGGTCCTTTCATATCCCACCATATTGACAACATTCTCTTTTTTGTTGACAATCCTTGCTTAGATATTGATGGAGTTGGTTGTCCAGGGTGGCAATAGACTCTTTTTCTGACCACATTTTCATATGTGATCCATTTTTCATCTCCAGTTACCAAACGGTCTAAAAATGGATCAGTTTGGCAGCGGGAGAGCAAAGATAAGAGCAGATGGTCAGACGATCTTGCAGGTTCTTAACAGACAATTCATGTGGTATCCATCTTGCATACTAGTAAACAAATCCAAGCTTTCGGATATGTTCTGAAACAGTTTGTTGGGCTGTATTGAGCTTCTCTGCAAGGTCTGAGGTGGTTGAGAATAGGTCTTCTTCCAAAATGTTGCAAAGAATGTCATCATCAAGTACAGATGGTCTTCCAGAACGTGGTTCATCTTCAAGATTGAAGTCACCATTCTTAAATTTCTCGAACCATCTTCTGCATGTATGGTCAGATACCACAGCTTCTCCAAAAACTTTACATAAGTTTCTACTGACTTCAGCAGCATTCTTCCCTTGTTGATACTCAAAGAATGCAATGACACAAATGAACTTTGTCAACAGACGTGTTTTTGACACTGTTGTTGTTGAACAACCAATGATAAAATGGGCTCACTTGTGTATATGATAGTGCAAGTTCAGTAGAAATAACTAGTATCAAGTAGAGGTTACAAACCCTTTACATTATCCCTGCCTGCCGCTTAAATTAAGAGGTGCCAGAAGCGGACAGAACTTTCCGGTAGACCTTATAGATGTCACTGTCGATCCTTCACCTAGCGTGCACACATCAATAATCCTTCCCTGGCCGAACAGCGGACTCAACAAGGCACGCGTATTACGTTGAGGGACTCCCATTGGGTCGAATCCCCGAATGAGTCGATTCCCGGTTCTGCTGCCACGAAGCACGCCTCACGGAATTGTTGTTGACAACAAGCCACAACATGTCTCTCTAATATTTCGATCCCCCCCCCCATACATCTCGGAGTATGAGAACCTAAAAATGTATAATAAATGAATGAGGGGAGATACTGTGACGTAGTTAGTCTTAGTTTGGAAGCTCTAGTAACACATTATTAAAGCACAAAAAATCAATGACACTCGATTGAAATTGCAGTAATAAATAAACACTCAATCCTTTTCAGATGCATTTCCAATTTTCGGAAAACCATGCCTGAATTTGGCACTGGAAGATCGGAAGTTCAGTGAGGCTAAAGGTGGTGCTGGAACTGTCTGTCCTTGTTATCTGGACACACTCTTAGGCGTTTCTGCATATTCTGGGACACTCCCTGCAGCGCAACATCACGATTTGCGTGGCCAGCATCACAGGAGTCACTCGGTTCTAATAACGCTTGTTCAGTCCTTGATCCTTTGGTCGATCTGGGTCCTCCGGATGACACCACGGCTAAACGCTACCATTTGGAGGTTGCTGGAGTCGGATGACGCCGGGATATACTGGCTGGTTCGGTGAATTCATCCTGCTTATTCTCAGCGCTTTGATGGCCGCACGGCTTCGCTGAATGGCCACTCCCCCGCCGATGATGCATAGTGCTGAAAAAAATGTAATCTTGGTTTAAGCCGTGCAAGAAGTAGCATGGAAAGTACGCGAGTCATGACCCCGGTAGCACCAGATATTGACTCAATGCTGGACCAACACTGGGAACGTTGGCTACATCTTGGCCAATATAGCCGATAAATAGGCTAAATATTCGCGCTCCAATATTGCCATTCCATCATCGATCCAATATCGGACCGATGCGATGACCCTGTGCCCAAGTTGAATTCGGAAGTTTTTGGGACGTGTTGAAGTTCTCCAGCAGGCCACTAGATGGAGGTAAGGGTCTAGCTCTTCGCAAAGTACAGAAATGTGCCCTTCCTTCTTTTAATGGAATCGTCCACGACCTTAGCACCTTACACGTCTGTCAGCTGTAACACGTCTACATCAACATTCCTTATTGCATCGCGAATTCTGTTCATCAACTCCTCAATGTTCACTTTTGTAGGGTATACATGGATTTCTTCCTAGAAATGTGAAAGAAGTATACCGTACAAAAGTGAACAACATTGAGAGTTGAAGAACAGAATTCGCGATGCTATAAGGAATATTGATGTGGACGTGTTACAGCGAACACGGCAAGAGTTATCGCATTGTTAGTTATCGCATTGACGTTCTCCATGCAACACACGGAGCGTACATTTCTGCATTCTAATATCGTAAAAAAAAAACTTTTTGAGATGCATTTTATGATGCAATGGTTCTCTTATGATTAATTTTTTTTTCAAAGTTGTACAGGGACTTTTGGGACATCCTGTATTACAGAGAAATCTGGTGGTTTGTTATCAGCAACACTTCCACGAGGCGTGCTTCGTGGCAGAGGAATCGGGAATCGATTCGTTCGGGGATTCGACCCAAAGGGATTCCTCAACGTAACACGCGTGTCTCGTTGAGTCTGCTGCTCGGCCATGGAGGAATTGTTGATGTGCGCCTGCTGGGTGGAGGATCGACAGTGACATCTATCATCTATATTCCGACCCAGTCAATGAATGGGTTTCGAGCGGAGTGGAGCCTCTAGTTATTTATTACTCTCTACTCTCAGCCTGTACCGTCCTCCGTCCATCCGTGGGACATACTGTTCTCATGTATATGTAGGATGTTATGCTAGTACATGCAGTGCTAGTACTGCTGGTTGATATGAGCCTCTTTGTGCCATCAACGGTTTACCTCAACAGCGTAATAAATTTGAAGCAAATAGTAGTGCCAGTACCGGCTTCAAATCGACCCCGGTAGTAATCCCAATATTGGTCCAAGATAGGTGTCAATACTGGGCATGTATATTACCTGGCAGTCAATATTGATCTAATATTGGGATACTACTGGGGGTTGTCCAGATGTGCAATTAATTAAAATTTATTAGTGATACAATCCCAATATTCCTGAATCCTGAAGAATGAGGAACACTTTCATTCAGATCAGAATTTACACTCTTCATTTAATGTTACGTCCGGCACGGACTTGACACACATGGACGTCAGGAGGTATTCGTTTCTGAGCATCCATTTGAAAATAAGTATGACTACGAAGGAGGCAACACTAATTTTTCACTCACTGGCAGATATGAAGAGTCCAACACTGCGGCCGGAATGCATGGAGCACAAACACGTTTCTGGGTCAGAACTACGGCAGAGACTGTTGCAAGTTCGTTTGGCGGAGACGATGGCAGCGGTCTCAAACCCGATCAACCCCAACCCGAGAATGACGAGAACCCAGCCTGCGATCATGATCATCATCGCCGTCTGACACGCAATATTCTTCGCTTCAACACCTCATCTCGATTGAGAGCATCGGACTGAAAGAACTGAGATTTCCAGAACTGACCGTGACAGTGACGATGCTGGTCCCACAGCAGTAGTTGATTCGAACTTCCTCGTCGTCGGCCACTATCACGTTCGGGCTCGCCATCCTCGTTTGCACGGCAGAGTTGAGTTGATGTTTCAGGTGGAGGACAGGGCGGATAAATGTAATTTCGTAGCACGTAAGCTTGAGATAAGGCGAACTCTTGTGACGTTTGTGTCCCACGCATGTGAATGACAGGGTGTCTCAAAAAGAAAAGTTAACACTGATTTTTCTTATACCATATGAATTCGAATTTAAAAAATTTGTGGCAGTTAAAATAAGAAGAGATTGCGTTTTCGATAGCTGAAGATTGCACTAAGATCAATGAGCTCAAAAGGCGACGTAAGAAGAGACTAACGTTACATTAGCAAAAATTCAGACAATTTCATGAACCACTGCAATAAACTCATGCAAGAGAACCCAGCAATGCAAGCGCTCCAAGAAGGTAGCGATATAAAAGATAACCGCCAAGAGACTCTTTGCTCGCTTGCTCTCGGGTATTGGCCGGCAAAATTGCAGCAGAATTCATCGAATGAAAGAGTGACCCATCTCAATCTCAGCATCCAAAACTTTTATTCACATTGAACACGCCTTGCGATGGTGTGTACATATCTTTTAGTCTAATACTCACTGCACTTAATCTCGCTTCAGAAATGGTAGAATTTCATGTGATTTTCCGAATAAGATAGCTTAATCTCTTCATTTTCTGACTGAGACAAGATTTGTCGATTCAAGTTCAATGTAATTACAGAAAAACCCTTCATTTGCGACACCCTGTAGTAAGCATGGCTCTCAGAAGGAAAAGGTTCATGTGGCTCTTAAGTGAGGAACATACAGTAGCTCCAAAAGAGGAGTTTGAGACGCATTTGCGAATGAGTGTGATGTCCTTTGACGCCAAACAGTAGATTTCATGTCCTGTCTTTCCATTTCATTCCATGCTACCCCAAGAAACTCGCACTATCGAAGCGTTATCAAAAGTGCCCAGATAGAGAATAAATAAAGCCCAAATGCACAATCTTCATTTTGGAGGCATTTCAGCTCAAGTGGTCTTATTCAAGGAGCTTTCGTTGCGCTTCAGACTCCGATTTGCTTGAAAAAAAAATTGTGAATGTTGGAATTCAAGACTTATGAAAAAAAAATTGGCTTTCTGGCCCTAACGGTTTTCGAAATATACGGCCCCAAACTTAGTCCCTTGGAGGAAAAATTACCGTTGGAGTTAAAGCGGTATCTTTGGTCCTAGTCGAGCTAGAAAAGCGTTTTCGAACTCCAATTAGAGCTGAGACAATGTAAAATCGTATGATTAAATGCATTTTCTACTACGTTAATGACAATTTGAGTTACACAGTTTCCAAATTGTAAATATTGGCAAATTTTGCACGCAAATTTCGAGCATTAGGATGCATGGTAACACGACGAGCTATTGGCATTAAACATTGCTGATTAAAGCATTCGCATGTTAAGAACTAAATTTCAACTTCCTTTGTTTTAAACCACTAAATTAAAATTAAATTTGAAAAGTCCAATATTGCCCATTTTCAACAACTTTGGCGGTGTTCGTACGTCCTGTTTCAAACGAGATCCAAACTTGAAACTAATGTCAAATGAAAGCTCTTTTAGAACTCTTTCCATTGATATATTACTCGTATTTCTACTTTTACTTTTCGCGTTTGTGCGTGCGTGTTTTTTTTTAACTTTTGAACTCGCCTAATTCCCAATTGAATGATATGACAAAAATTACAGCGATGGGAATGCCGGTTAAAGAACCAGGCCTGGGCAGATTTCACATTTGACTTATAAATATCGCTATTTCTATTATATGCTTGCATCAAGCAATAAAATATCAATCTTCTACATTTTTATGGATTTCCTAGCGCTAAAATTTAGTCGGTATCCTTAACGCATGCATGGACGTACGGAGTCTCAGGTTTTGAAAATGCAGCGGATTCCGCTTTATTGGACCATCGGTTAATGGGAGCCGCCGGTTTATTGGGACATTTTGTCAGGAACGGAGCCATTTCTATACAAGTGCATTTACATTTCGCCGTTTATTCAGAACGAAAATCCACTTTATCAGGGCAAGGTCAAGATGAACTTATGCCGTCGGTCCCAGATGGTTTTTTCCTCCCACTCTCTCGCTCCTCTTGGCCGCGTCTTTTGTGGTTAAGAGCTGGCCGACTGTTAAGGCAGAGACCATCGCAAAGGGCTTTCGTGGATCTGACTTTTATTTCGGGCCAGAGGTGCCAGCGTCAACCGATGAAGGGGGTCTGACCATTATTGATGTCACTAACGGAGGAACCTACGTCAACATCGACGAAAATGCACCGTGCTTCGCCGAACACGATGACTCTGAGGACGATATAGTCTCGGACATCGTTGCCAAGAGGCCTTAAGGGAACGTCGCCAACGAGGAGCCTGAGACTTTACCTAAGGTGACTCGCGTAAGAGGCCACATAAGAGTGCTCGGTTGACATCCTTCAGCGCTACTTTATTGAGCAGGGTTTGGATGATACAGCGGAGACGGTGCTCTTGGAATTGGTGCTTCAGAGAAGCTTTTTCGGGTGTGAAACAAGCAACTATGGGCAAAATTCTTAATTCGTAATTTTTATTTATGCACAAGTAAAGGACATTCGGGTCTGGCTTTTTTAAAATTATTATACTATAGGGTTGGTTCACTTTATTGGGGCAGCCGCTTAATAGGGCAAATTGACCTGAAACCAAAGAGTCCCAAGAAAGCGGAATTCACTGTATAGGTCTGTTCTGAGAAAAATTTTTATATAGGCCCCTTGCTTGTGTTCTCTCTGGCGATTCATGGTTGAATAAGAATAGGACTTTAAAACTCAGTAAAGAACACTCGAAACGGGTATATATCAGGTATTCCCATAAGTAAAGTCTTTTTTTTTCTGTTTTTCAAAACTAAAATACACCTGTATCGCATCAAGTTTCACTCAAGTATATACCTGTATTCCCCTTCGTTCTCTATTTTTCTCTGCCACCTTTCTACAAGCATTTCAATTCCATGTTTATAAAATTCCTTTGGCTTTGAAGCAAAAACGCGGACCAGGTCACTTTTGATAGCCTCCAAACTTTCAAATTCTTTTTCGTTGAGATAGTTTTGTAGACTTCTGAATAGGTGGTAATCGGAGGGTGCAATGTCTGGTGAATACGGCGGATGTGGAATTTTTTTCCAATCCAGCTCTTCGATTTTGGCACACGTGATCCGAGCGGTATGAGGACGCGCGTTGTCCTGATGAAACAAAACACCCTTGCGATTGGCCAATGAAGGACGTTTTTCCTGCAATGCAGCGCTCAAACTTTGGAGCTGCCGGCAGTATACCTCCGCTGTTATGGTTTCATCGGGCTGCAACAGTTCAAAATAAACAACGCCAAGAATATCCCACCAAACGCACAGCAAAACCTTCCTGGGGTGAAGACCTCTTCTTGCCTGTGGTACAGCAGGTTCCCCGGCACTAGCCCACTGTCGACGACGCTTAACATTGTGATAAAGCACCCATTTTTCATCCCCAGTAATGAGTCGATTCAAAAACGGCGCTTGAAGTGCACGAGAGTGTAGGGAAGAGCAAATGTTTACTCGATCCCTAAGATCGTCTGGTGACAACACATGTGGAACCCACTTTCCAAGTTTTGACACTTTTCCTAGCCGTCGCAAGTGGCGGTGAACGGTGGAATGGGTGGAATTGAGCTTCTGAGCAAGTTCTTCAACAGTTACAGCAGGATCTTCATCGAGTGTAGCCACCAGCAGTTCATCATCAAACTCAATAGGTCGGCCTGAACGTGCTTCATCAGTTAAGCTGTAGTCACCAGACCTGAATTTCTGGAACCACCTTTGGCATTTCCTCGTATTCAGAGCTTCCTCACCATAAACATCTCGAATGTTTTTCGTGGCTGCAGTCGCGTTATTCCCTTTCTTAAATTCATAAAGCATTATATGCCTAATGTGTTCTTCTGACACCTCCATCTTGTCTTTAGTGTCCAAGAAAAACGGAGCACTGTTACCTCGTGAAAACCTGCACGTATATTGACGACTAACCCCTGCACAAGTTAGCATAGAAATATTCCATAGGATATTCGCAGATACATGTATAAAGAAGACACAAGTAAGGCTATGCCAGAAAAACATTACTTATGGGATGACCTGATATTTGAGTGAATTCGAACATTTAGTCCAAAACAATGAAAAAAAACTTTCCCCATTCAATGCTTTATGTAAAATCTGATAGGAACTGTCTCTGAAGATATGGTAAAATTTAAACCACTGCTTCTCACACTTGAGGGTGTGAGAAGCAGTCCCGTCTAAACTTGTTCCGTCCTTGATCCGTCGTTCGGTTTATGTTCGCCGGATGACACCCTGGCTACACGTTGCCAGGGTATTCATACACAACTTGCTGGATCTGGAATATGCTAGGAAATGCTGATGGAGGTGCGTTCCTCTTGCTTTTCTTCAGCGCTTTGATGGCCGCGTCGCCTCGCTGAGCGGTCAACACCCCGCCGATGATGAATAGAACTAAGAAAAAAAGTTAACACGGTTCAAGCAATGCGACAAAGCATCGAATGGATGCTAATGATGTAATTCAATCATGAAAATGTCGCGTGGAGGGCCTCAATGTTAAGGTTAAGGTTAATATTAACATTATTAATAATAATGTAAACTTTAAGCCAAACTGCGAGAAAGAACAATTCGGTTCGAGCGGTATGGATTAAGGCGATGGATCCGGCCTCGCCCCACAGATTGGACAAGCCGTCCTAGGGGACGACTGATGACAAAATGATATATGGTGTTCAAATGACAAAAAAGCAAGTTAAAATAAGAATTAAACAAGAAATATCACAGGTTTCGCGACTACAGACGGTAGAGATGGTCAACTCCAAGCAAGGAGGAGCAAAACATTCTCGCGGAGGAAGAGATACATTGGTCTTGAGGGTGGGAATTTCAGAGAGACTGTTTCCAGAACTCTAATGAGACGAGACAGGACACCCCACTGATTATCTCGAAGTTGCCCCAGCGACACTCCCAATCGTCGACAAGGAAACACCAAGGGGCCAGACTTGATAAGCAGGACTCGAGGGACAAAGCACAACAGACTGCCTGCACACGTAGGATTCACGAACGGAAGACGAGACGGCATAGCCGAATTCACTCGCGCCGCACACTCACTGAACACCAATAGAGGCCTTCATGGAAACTTCCCTGACACGTGTATTGCCATGGCAGGACCGCGGGAAACAAAACATCTCTGCGGGAGCTCTATGCCTCAACACTTTATATATTCGAATTTATTTACGTGATGAAAGCATATATAATTTATGAGTGATGTTAATCGAACGTTCATGACATCTGAGAAACCTTATCATTTGGATCAGAAATTATGTGTCTCTTTTCATGTCTGGTTCACCTTAGACATCGAAAGGATATCCAAGTTGGATATTCTATCGATGTCCTTTTGAAAAGGAAGGTAAAATAAAAATGGAGGAAGGACACATGAAAGAAACAACATTGCTTCACTCACGGGAAAAAATCATCAGTCCGACTATTAGGCCGTAATTCCTGTCGCAACTACATTTTTTATCCAATGATACTGCCTTTTGGCAACGACTGTCACAACTTCCACTTCCACTGGGCGTGAGAAGGGCAACGATCGTGAGCACGAAGAAGATGAGTCCGAATATTTCGATCAGGAAGCCTGCAATCATGATCCTCTTCGCTGTCTGACACGCAATATTGACCGCCTCAACATCTCATTTCAATCGATAGAAACGGACTGAAAGGACTGAGATTTCAAGACCTGACCTGGACAGTGACGGTGCTGGTCCCACAGCAGTAGTTGAGTTGAACTGCCTCATGGTCGGCCAGCAACACTCTCTGGCTCGGCATCTTCGTTTCTGCACGACACCGATCAATGTGTTTCACGGAGACGAGTGGACGGAGAAGCAGATCATCGAGGCACCAAAGCTTGAGATAAGGCGAAATCTTGCGTCATTCGTGTCTCCCCCATGTGAATTAGTAAGCACGGCTCTCAGAAGGAAAAGGTTCACGCGGCTCTTAAGTGAGGAACATACAGTATCTCCAAAAGAATAGCTCGAGACGCATTTGCGGATGAGTGTGATGTCCTTTGACGCCAAACAGTAGATTCCATGCCCTTGGACGATGTCACGAAGAGCGTTCCGTTTCGTTCCATCCGAAGCCATTCAGAAACATTCCGAAACGTTATCATAAAGGAGGGATAGAAGTATGCAGGAATCGTCTGAAGTGTTTTGAACGATTCAGGATTTCACAATGTCGTCCGAATGGTAGGGATTCAGGAACGGATCGCTTCCTCAACTCAAAGATGTTCTTGGCAGAATTCTTCATCACCGGTCTCGGCTTGACTGTGACGGTGTCGACGAGGGAGTATGGAAAGCGTGGCAGGAACTCTCCTTCCAAAATTTTTCAATTTTTGCGTAGATTTGATTTGGAATGAACCGTTCCGTATGTCCAAGAAAAATTACAGTTTTAAGGTTCCATTACGAGATATGTCGAATCCAGGCCGTCTAAGGAGCAGTTAATTCATCCTTTCGTTTATTTTCATGACAGCCAATTCCACTCGACGAGTCGAAGAAGAAGGGAACGTCTTCCACCGATCCCGATCCTTGGCCCCGGACTCGACCCAATCTTGTTGAATCTCGAGTCCCCGCCGACAAATCTTCGTGACGCCATCATTTCACCCCGAACGACGTCTACCGACTGGTCCGTTCGCCTTCGATCGGGAGACTCGCTTCAGGAGTCTCTCTGTGACCACGCGACAGACGTGGCCATCCGGCACGAAGACGTTGTGGCAACGTCGTGAGGAGGTCGAAATCCCAAGGCTCGGTTCAGGTTGGTTCATCAACCAAGAATCACGAGCATGGAAATGTCAATTATTCGTAATTCGCTATATTTTCAGCTCACTGATTTTCATCTCAGGGATTAGTGAATTCCAGTGGAGGTTATTAGATGCGAAAATCGCCTTTCACGTTTCCCTTCATCGTAGCTTTAATAATGTTTCAACATTGAATTGTTCCCATAATCGCACGGAAAAATAATTCAGCATTGTACTTGTGTAGAATCATGAAAACTGTATGCAGAAATAATCGGTTTCCAGAACCGACACACAATTGCACCTTTACATCCCGGATTTTGCTATTCAATCATTTTTCGGTACCCTTGGGATATTTACATCTAGGTACCTTGAATCTCTATTCTCTCTGGTGATGCATAGCTGAATAAAAATCGCACTTTTGAGTTCAGTAAAGGACACTCTCTCGAAACGCATATATTTTCTAGCTAATTCGGACTTTAACACGCTGACTGCCCATGTCAAGTTAACTATTAATCGATGGCCAGACCAGGAAACCCATGTCCATTTAACTGGACGAACGATCCATTCATTTTCCCTTAGTACTGTAATCTTGTGGTTCGGAAGGTTGATACGATATGAGGCGTGGGCCTCTGGCAAGCCCCAGCCAGGAGATTCTCAGAGTTGGGATAGAGCATATTGGGATGGGCAGTCAATGTGTTCAGTCGGAAAATATGCAAAAACATTCCCCTTTCAATGCATTACGTAATATCTATCATGAACTGTCTCTGAAGATATGCTGAAAACTGAAACACTGCTTCCCACACTTCAGCGTGAGTCCCGACTACACTCCTTCCGTCCTCGATCCGTCGGTCTGTCTGGGTCCTCCAGATGACACCGCGGCTAAGCGTTGCCAGGATATCCATATGCAGTTTGCTGTAATTGGATGACGCCGGGATACACTAGCGGGTTCGGTGCGTTCATCCTGCTTGTCCTCAGCGCCTTCAAAGCTGCGTGGCTTCGCAGAGCGGCCACTACACCGCCGATGATGCATAGAACTGAAAGAGAGTAAGCTCGGTTCAAGCAATCCACACGGCATCGAATGGATGCTCGTGATGTCGTCCGGTCGTGCAAACATATTTGCGGGATGTAAATTCCAGGTTCATCATGCATGAGGAACCCATCGCTTCGGATCTAAATTTAAATGTTTCATTTAATGCCATATCCACATTGGACATCTTATCTATGTCTTTTTACGCAAGGAAGGCAACGTAAAACCAAATTGCGAAGGCCTCATGAAGGAAACAACATGATTGTTTCACTCACGGGCTGATAGGATCAATCCGACGATTCGGCCGTGATTCCATTGGCAATCACACGTTATACCCATCGAAGCAGCAAATTGGCAAGTGTTATCGCAGTGTCGCTTGGCCGAGACGAAGACGACGATCCAGATAGCGGCGAAGGCGATTCCGAGTAGTAGTAAAACCCAGCCTGTGATCATGACTATCTTCGCCGTCTGACACATAATATTGACCAGCTCAACATCTCATCTCGACCGAGAGAGTCGGACTGAAAGATGGAGATTTCAAGAACTGACCCTGACAGTGACGGTGCTGGTCCCACAGCAGTAGTTGATTTGAACCACCTCGTGCTTGGCCACGATCACGTTTGGACTCGCCATCATCGTCTGCACGACAGAGGTCGATGCGTTTCATTTGACGAATGGAAGAGGAAATATATAATCCAGGCACCAAACCTTGAGATAAGGTGAACTCTTGTGACGTTCGCGTCCCCCACATATGAATTAGTAAGCATGGTCTTCAGCAGGCAAAGGTTCACGTGACTATTGAGAGAGAAACTCGAAAAGAGCCTCTTCGTATGAACTCGCGTATGAGTGTGATGTCCTTTGACGTCAAACGGTAGATTCCGTGTCCTTGGACGACGTCACGAAGAGCGTTTCGTTCCGTTTTATCCGAAGTCATTCAGAAACATCCCGAAAGAAGATTGGAAAGGCGAGATAGACGTATGCAGGAATCGTCCGAAGTGTTTTGAATGGATCAGGACTTCACGATGCCGTTCGACCGGCAGGGATTCAGGCACGAATCACTTTCCCAACCCGAAGATGTTCTCGCACGAATTCTCGATCGTCAGTCTCGGCTCGTCTGGGACGGTGTCGACGAGGAGTGTGGGAAAGGTGTAAAGTGTGACAGGAACTCCGCGCACCCAACATTTTCAAATTTTGCGAAGATTTCATGCGGAACGAACCGTTCTCTTAGTCAAAGAAAACTTGTGTTTTTATTTGGTTTCCATTACAAGAGATTTCGAATCCAGGCCGTCTTAGGAGCAGTTAATTCATCCTTTCGTTAATTTTCAAGACCGCCAATTCCACTCGACGGGTCGAAGAATCCCCGGGAACGTCTTCCGCCGACGCCGATCCCTGGCCCCGGACTCGACCCGATCTCGTTGGATCTCGAGTCCACGCCGACAAATCGCGACGCCATCATTTCACCCCGAACGACGTCTACCGACTGGTCCGATCGCCTTCGATCGAGAGACTCGCTTCGGGAGTCTCTCGGCGACCACGCGACAGACGTGGCCATCCGGCACGGAGACTTTGTGGCAACATCGTGAGGTGGTCGAAATGCCGAGACTCTGTTCAAGTTGGTTCACCAACCAAGAATCACGAGCATGGAAATGTCAATTATTCGTTATTTTTCGCTATATTTTCAGCTCATCGGAAGTCACTCGGGGATTTGCGGATTCGAGTGGAGGCTATTAGATTTATTCGTAACTTTAATAATGTTTTAACATTGAGTTGCTCACATAGTGGCAGGAAGCAATTATTCTGCATTTTTGCACATGTTGAATCATGATAATTGTATGCAAAAATTATTGGTTTCTCGAACCGACACGCGATGGCGTCTTCACATCCTCGATTTTTGCGATTGAATCCATAATGTCACTCGAATGGATTTTATTTATTTATTTCATGCAGTGTCTGATTTTCTCCATCATATTAATACATCTTAGGGGAAGACAAAGTAATTCCTCTTACATCTAAAGAGTTAACTCAACGCAGGCAAATCAACCAAGAAAACCTTCCAACAATTTAAGAAAATGTTTCAACTTGGGACATCATTTCTTGAGGCTCACGTTTGGGGGAAAAAAAAAAAATTATTTTAATCATATCTAGATGTGAAGCACTATACTCGAGAAATGCGAGAGATGAGCGAGAAATGAAAAAGTAAATAACTCTCCTTGAGACCTTTTTACGTCAGTGGAACGGCCACGTGATTGGATGACGTCACTCCCTTAGAAGCATCGAATTGACGTCTTGGGATGTCCAAGAGCGTCAGCTGAGCCGATTAGAAAAAAAAAGACACTTCGGGTGAGATTCCGGATAGAAAGACCGAGTTTTCTATTTGGAAATCGTTTGCATGTGTCCAAAGTCCTAAAATTCTTTCCCATTTTCTCCAACTGTTTTTTTGCAATGCGAACAAACTTTACCAAGAAATTCGAATTAAATTTTTGCTCGAGAAAATGCATCAGGGATCGATACCGATCGTGCTCACCGATCTCGGGCATCGACTTCGTTTGTCCATGAGAATGTCACTTTTTCGCGAAATATCAGGGTGGGACGACATGTTTCAGAGAATTTTTTTTTCTGGTAAGGGATGAAATTAAATGCGGTCTTATTGTCAACAGACTGATTCACAAGCTGCGAGGCAACTGACGCACACGAGAAGAAAGCGAGTTGTAGACAAAAACAGACATAAGAAAATTAGCTTAAACTGAAGAAAACTGCTTATGTGGAAGAAGCCATTTCTTCTCAAGTTTTTTGCACCCAGGGATGCAAAAGTCCCTGCTGCCGATTGCTAGACGATTCTCGAGAGAAAAAGATGACTTGAATCGAGATTTTTAACGGATACTCAGTAGCATGCTGCCGTTCCGAAAGCGTCAGAGAATTTCAGTCAGTAGTTTTTATCATTTTATTTTTAGTTCATCCGGTACTTCCCCATGGAGCCTCGTCTGACTCATCCACCAGTGGCGTAGCGTGGTTTGCATGGGCCCTGGTGCAAGGAATGAGACGGGGCCCGCTGTCCAATTTCTTACTATTGAATTTTGTGGGAGTCATATATATTTTGGATAGATTTTTCCAGGCAGCATATTAATCGTCGTCGGTAGCTGAAGTCGTGGAAGGCAGTGGTGGATACATAAATTTTCCATAGGGTTTCCTAGTTTTTAGTTCCCAGCCCCCCCCCCCCCCCCCCTCCTCATCTACCACCACCCTCTGTCCNTTTCCATAGGGTTTCCTTTTTTTTTTTTCCCCCCCCCCCCCCCCCCCCCCCCTCCTCATCTACCACCACCCTCTGTCCTATCGCTTTATTCCTTTTTCGTCTGGAGTAAAAACCCCAAAAATAAATATTTCACAGGAGCTAATAAACATTAATTTATGTACTTTTTACATTTAGAAAATAGACTGCGAACTTGGTCAGAAGAGGGGAAGTTGCCCCTCCCCCCCCCCCTTCTACTTAGCGCAAATACTTAATATGTTCAATTTCCTTCAAGGACCCCATGGGAAAATGAGGCCTGGGGCAACAGCCTCCTTTATCCCTCCCCCCTTAATCCGGCCCTGGGTGAATGATGTTGGGAGTGGCCACTACCTCATTTAACCACACGAGACGGCGTCCCAGTTGCGAGATGCCTCTTTGCAGTGTCGCGTTGAATTCCTTTGCTTCCTTTTGACCGGGTATTTCGGCTGCTGGCTCTCACCTCGTCCCAACACCAAGGGGCTCCCAGCTTTCATCTCCCCCCCCCCCCCTGCCTTCCCCCCTCTTCGTAACTCGAGTGGGGTGGTTTAAGGGGCTCCCAGCTTTCACCTCCCCCCCCCCCCCCTGCCTTCCCCCCTCTTCGTAACTCGGAGTTTGGGCCCCTCTGGCCCGTGGGCCCCGGTGCAGTCACACCGCCTGCACATTCGGTAGATACGCCACTGTCATCCACAGAAGATAAGAGGAGGAAGAGAGACCGCCCAGACCAGGCAATCGGACTCGTAGCGGGAGTGCCATGGGAAGAACGTGGATTCGAGGAAAACCCCTGAGTTCTCAGTGATGGTGGTCATTGGACTCGATTGGGGTGAGGTGCTTGCTTCAGTACTTTCAACCAAGCAAGGGGTACAGATTACGATGAAGCAGTGTTATCAATGTGTCCTTGATGTCGATAATTTAGTAATGGAACGTTATGAAGTCGAAAATACAAATCCTGACATTGTGTGATTCGTGAACACATTTTTGACGTTGAACTGTGTACCATTCCAATATTATTGCATTATCTGAAAAACTTTTCAATAGCCATAGGTGAGAGGGGGGAGACGAACGCTTAAAACGTTTGTTTCATCTTCAGGTACACCTTCTGTCCACCAAATTATTACTTTGATTTGATTATGCTTTTTTTTTCAAAGGAAAGTTTACCTCTATCGCATAGATCATCGGACGGATGAACGGAAAAAGTACAAAATTTCCTGCTGTCAGTGCCTGGAGAGGCTGAGCAACAAGAGCCAATGCCTGCAATTGAAGGAAGGAAGGGGAAACAGGAATTTACGAACTTAAAGTCGCCTGCTGACGTCCTATCTGGACTGCCAGAGGCCACTTAAGGGGAGAACCCCCCCCCCCCCCACAGAAAAATTCGAATTTTTTGTGAAATTTTCATTTTTTCAGATTTTCGTCGTTCAGCAGGAAAAAAAAAGTACCAATCCATTCCGTCGAAGCTATGGAGAATTTTGACTCCCATTGCCCCCCAAAATAATGATTTTGTAGGCAGCCTCCGAATAGTTGGTGATAATTAGGGAAGGGAAACATCAAATCTGGTTTTCTCCTAGTGCTTTTTTTTCTTATATTGGGACACTGTATCTCTGGAATGCTTAGAGATATTTTCTTCTAATTGTGTACAGTCATTCAAGACACGTTTGTGCATGTTTTTATTTGGTAGTTTTCCAATGTCACTAAAAATGGCATAGATATTACATTTATGGCATGGAGCGTGTTGTCATTTTGGTGCACCTGAAATGAAAAATTGGGGGGAAAAATCGAAAGCACGTGAAATTTAAAAAATCTAATCCCATTGAAATGCTAAATAATTATCTAACTGACTATTTCACTTAGTTTTGTTCATCTACCTCTGATAGGTTGGAGTATAGCGTGCCCCAAAAATGTTTTAAAAAAATGGAAGATATCACAACGGCAACTGGTGGCCATGGCAATCAGTGTGCTACAGAGGAAATATGGCCATGTCAGAAAAGCTCTAGCCTTCCTGTGTATGCATACCAAATTTCATGCAGATGTCTTACATAAAAGCCGATTTTTTTCGAGGGGGGGGGGTCCCTCTTAAAGGGACAAAGTAATTTTATTAGCGTCAGATTATTTCCTTCCTGGGTTGAAGCCTTTCTTCTGTCAATTGAAAAAGCTGACTAGATTACTTAGAAACTTGATTTTTCAAACCTTTCAACATATAACACCTGTGAAAAAAAATTGACTATCACAGAAAATTGCACTTCGTCTTATGTGCGTCTGTAGCGCTCTAGCATCCAAACCACTGAAATTTTAAACACAGATTCCTTAACATCCAAATATTGTATGGCCAATATTAAGTAAAAACTCAAATATGTTTAGGATAGAACTTCAAAACTCTTGCGAAGACAATCCGATATCCGCAGTCCTG